AATTTATACAGGGATAATTTTGTTAAAGTTGGTCACTTTTCAATCAATCAACTATCAATGGTTGGAGATTTGTTGCAAGCAGTGTTGGAACTTACAAAATTCCCAGTTTACAAGGTGACGATTTAGTAAATATTTTTAATAAAATGACCTATGACCTATCAAAGAGCAAAATAATGATGCTTACACCTTTCATATTATATATTGCCCTCCATATAGAGTACAGATTCACAAACAGGATATTCCAAGAAAAGATATTCACCCTACTAACAATAAAGCATAGCTGCAGTATATCTCCACCCCACAATATTTCACATAGTATATTATTACATGGAATAAATTTCCCTTGGTTTTCTCTGTTATTCAGCCCTGCATGATTTAAAACAGTGTAATAATGTGAAGTGTTAATATGAATCTCATGCGTTTAGGCACCAGAATGTTTACTAAAACACTTAGTGGAGCTGAAGGTAGAGATTGGAAACATTCAGATATTGCTGGATTCTCAAGATGAACTCCATTCAATGCTCCTACCAAAGCATTTAAATCAAGACACACCAAGGTCAACTATTACAGGTTGGATATTTTTGTTATTTTACTTACTATTCAATTCAGTATTTATTTGCTCCAATTTGCCATTATTCACTATTCAAGAAACAATAACATGCATCTATATACAGTTGCAATAGCCAAAACAAATTCATTACATTAAAAAAAATTAAAAATATGCGGTAAATGTGTTCTAATGAGAGCAGTATGAATGGAAGCGTTGTTGGCAGACAAGCAGAATCCATATGGAAACAATGAAGATTTAAAACATTTTGTTTCTAAAAGGAGAATTTTAAATCAATTTCAAATCAGTTCAGTTAAATTTTGTTCCTCCCACTGATGCCAGTCGCATTTCAGAGGCAGTCTTCTAGACCAGTGTTATGCAACCTGTGGTCTGCAGACCACTTGGTGATCTGCCAAAAATTATTGACGGTCCATTAATCGCTAAGGGTTCGTGGGAGGTCCACAAGAAATGTAAGTGGTCCTTCAAAGGTTGAGTGGGCCGCCATTGTATGCCATCGGTTGGAGAAAAACATATACATGGGCCTATATAAGGAAATAAAATAAGTATTCTACCTTTGTGGCATAGTTGATGCTCTTCCTGGTAAAAATTTAAAAAGATATGATTTGAATGTCAGTATAGGTCTAATTAATGTGGAGTGGTCCGCAAATTTGTTCATGGTGTTGGAAGTGGTCCCCTGGCCCAGAAAGGTTGCGTAACCCTGTTCTAGACACATCAAGATGCACCCAAGGACAAGGCCTTGCAACTGAATGGACGGCAGAGGTCTTAACTCCAATCTAACATAACAATTACATTTTTAGGAAAAAAGATGATGTGTGTACTCTTTTGAACTTATAGTGCTGTACCAAGATGTGTCCGCACATGATGCTAAGCAGCTGAAGATGTTCTTACCATTGTTACAGACAAGACTTTCAGAAACTACTAAAGGCCTTACAGCATGTATACATGTGAAAGATTATCTAAGATCCTGGTAAGTTTTTACTAAATTGGATACTGCTCTAGCCAGTTTGTTCTGTTGTTATTTATTTATTTACTTATTTATTTATTTATTTATTTGTTTTATATTTTTTTATTTATTTATTTTATTTTTTTTTATTTTATTTATTTTTTTCTCTCTTAACTTTTGGCCTGCATTGATCTTTTTTTAAAAATGTCTTGTAATCTTACTTTATTGTAAATTTGCCTTTTTAATCTATCTTGTAACTTTTTATTGTTAATTCATCTCAATTTGTTGTAATTTGTAACTTAACTGTATATATGCTATTTAAATCTATTGCCTTTTAATTTTTTTTAAATTTTTACCTAATTTTGTACATAACCATAATGATTCAATATTTAATAATTAATCTTATTGCCTTTTTTTGTAATCCATTTGAATTTCCTAATTTGCAATTTTGAATGATTTTTGGCTTGGGATTTTTATATTTATATATTTT